AGACAACATCGGGAGTCGCGAGTGACCGACGACCGACGACTCGCGCGATTCGTCGTAATACGGGTGCGCCAGGTAGGCGCCCCGCGACTTGCTCGCTCTTGAAAAATTCTCACGCGAAAGGGAATTAGCGCTGCACGCGAGACTCGCCGCTTTTCACTCGGGCGCGTTCGCTAAACGCACGAGAAAAAAGCATCGTTCGGGATAACTGGCCGTTTACGGGATTTCAAAAGTTATGCTTATGCGCCATCGCTCGTAATTATGAAGAATGTTTGGAGTATTCGTGTTATGTGGTTTCGAAATATTAGCGGCGGCGACGAGTCTAGAAAGTTTATGATTACGTTTTACATTTTAAGTAATTGTACAAGAGGATCATCCAAATGTACAGGCAAACCAAACTCTTAATAACAAATTTTCCATCGAGAATAGTAAAAGAGTAAATTCTCATCACAATTATAGGAGCTCGTGTGCTGCTTTAGTTATGATTTCTCTTATCTTCGGTCTTGTAATGACCGAAAAACGTCGAAACCCGTTGAAAGTGAAATTGACGAACGTTGTGCGTGACCGTTTGCAGTCGATAACATTAGATTTGTAAAGTCGCTTGTCGAAAAAAAGTTAACGATTGGTGCATTGATTGAGAAAGGAACGAGGAGCAAATGTATTTGCAAAATTACTCGGGTGGTTGGGTTCGTTTAATTTTGAAATAAATAACGCTCAATCGAGATGTAAAAATTCGTTCGATCATTGAGAAGAAAATTTCATTCAAACTATGAGCTTTCTAACGCGGCATCTTTAGGTTTGAGCAATTTCTGCGCAAATTTCACAATTCACCAATGACTTATCTATAAAATAAGAATCACTTTGTGCTCAAATATCTGGAAAATTTTAGCCACTGAAAAATTCACTCTACTAATCATTAAAATTGTCGAGAATGACAATCAACAATTAATTCTCTCTCTCTCTCTCTCTCTCTCTCTCTCTCTCTTTCTTTCATATTAGCAGCATGGGTTGCTCGACACCCAAGCGTAGAAAGGAACACGAGGCTAT